AATTTATGAATTTGAACATCTTTATTATGATGATGTTGGACACTCTAATAATTGTCAAATTTTTCTTAGTTAGGTTAGCTTTTGTTTGTGGCATGAGTTGAATTGTGGATTTGGATACTAAACCTCGTTATTTTTAACAAAATAACAAGGTTTACTAAGTGCTTGTGCGGGGTGGGGGGGGGGGGTTGTAACAAACTAGGTTTGTTGTAAGAATTATCCAGAAGGTTCCAAAAATCGTGTAGGGACTGACCTCAACATTGCGTATTCCTCTGGGGATTAGCATGTCTGAGTCACAAAATGGCTGGCGTCTTTGTTCATAGTTCGTATAATGAACCATTCTATAGTATTCACTTATTTAGAGAAATTAGCCTTTATTCATCTTACATTCAAATTGGATTGTATAATATTCCTGGTTATAGTATCAAGAGTATTCTATTTATTAGGAGACTTGAGTTAAGTCACCATCAGTGACGTCACGAAGCCAGGACTAGGCAGTAGCACGGAAGTGACCTCAACGACCTGGCGGTCATAGGTCAACAGTTTCCACATTCAGTAATTCACAAAGGTCAAATAGCCAATTTGGGATCGGGAATAGCTCTTCCTTAAGATGGTTGTGTAATTTAACTTCAGTTAAAATATTTCAACCAATCTGGATCAATTCAGTGCAACAGAGGTTAATTGTTAAACTTAAGCCTTGCTAGTGACTTGGTAAAACTTAGACTAGGCAGAAGGATACAATGCTCTAGTCTGGGGAAGACCAGACGAGGAGAGATCAGTGTGGGATCCGGATCAACTGGGGAAAGTCAACCATCTCACCTCTCCCCCCCAAGACCAGCACCCCACCCAAGCTGGTCAACATAGAGGTATAGTTGCTACTGGTTCTTATAGGGATAGTCAACTCATTGCCAGCCAGGAAGTGTTCAGTCAGGGAGTTTCAATTATTTAGATTTTGTTTAGTTTTGAATAAATTAATTTAATCTTATGTTCATAAACCCTGTTAAATACTGCACAAATTTAAAAGGCCTTGATGCGGGTTCGAACCATCGTCTGAGAGGCCCCAGACACGCCTTAATCGCACATAAATTAATTAGTTATTAATTTGCCTTTTTATTAATTTCCATGTGTGTGCTATATTTATGTAAATTTGTCCTTGTCACGTGGTCCCCACGAGGCCGAGTTGAATTGGGCGCCAATTCTAACACCGAATCCGAATTACCATTCCCGTTGATTTGTAATTAATTCCACACTAAAGATCCAAGGGTATATGTTACTAGTGGGGATCAAGCCCCTAAGTTATTGATTGGCATGATCGATCCAGACCTCGATCATTGCTCAGTGTTGCAAGGTCTGGTGGTGGCAGTGTAAAGGCGGCCCTAGGGTTTTGCTAGAAGCCTGTTTCACGTCATACGGGTGTAGAATCTCAAGTCGGTAAATCGTCTTGAGACCACGTGGCATGGGGTCGGCTCAAGTGAGAGTTTTGGGGTCCCTTGGCAGAGAACAAAAAGTAAGAATACAGGCAGAGGGAGAGTAAAATGGTAGGAAAGATCATTCGAGAACCCCCCCCCCTCCCCCCCGTGTTACACCGCCGGCACTCAGATGGTAATCTTAGGCATAGCATTTTATCATATCACCTCATTCTTTGCAGCACATGTGAGGAACACAGATGCGAAAAAGCCTGAATGGTCCCCAGGACTATATGCAACTGAAAACTCACACCCAAGAAGTGACTCGAACCCACACTGACAGGAGCAATGCAACTGGTATGTACAGGACGCCTTAATCCACTTGACCATCACGACCAGACAAAAGGAAGTGATAGCTGAAGCTATTTGAACCACTTCCCTGCCGGCACTCGGATGGTAATCTTGGGCATAGCATTTTATCAAATCACCTCATTCTTTGGGGCACACGTGAGGAACACAAATGCGAACTAACCTGAATTATATGTTCCTTAATGGAGCCCTGTTGCTTATGCATCGTTAATCGCCTGGAAAGAGATGTTGTTGTCTTGCCTATATACTGAGCTCTTTGAGGCTTACAGTCCCCAAGTGGACATTTAAAGGCATAGACGACGTTGGTCTCTTTTTAAAGCGTTCTGCTTTATGTCTGGAGAGTTTCTCATGAGTAGGTTGGTTGTTTTTTTGGTTTTATAGTAAATCGTCAATTGTATCTTCTGATTTTTGTCTGTAGGGATAACGTTCCTATCAACAAAATATTTCAGGACCCTTTCCTCCGTTTTATGAGCTGTGGAAAAGAAGTTCCTGTAAAATAGTCTAATAGGGGGTAAAGGTGTTGTGTTAGTTGTCTCTTCAGAAGTTGCATGGCGTTTCACCTTCCTTCTTATATTTGAATCTCTTCCCACAACTAGACCATCACCAGAGAAATCTTAACAAACAACACAGAAATCATCAATAGATACAGCGATAGCAGGCGGCTTGACATCTGCGAGGTACTACACATCAAGAAGTCAACACCAGCAATCAACAGCCAATTAATGCACAACTATATTTTATCCACTTCAAGACTCCGCACCAATATAGAAGCATCAAGAAGTATGGGCCAATAGGCCTTTTGCAGTTACTTCCATCCTTCCCTTTAATTTACCCAATTTATACCCATTGTTCCGTGTTCTATCTTGTGTTGAAAGTTTTGTTCACCTCATCCAAAATTGTTGTAACATATCACCTCACCAAATGCGGGTATATAAGATGAAAGCTGTTTAAATGATAGCATAAAGCAGCCTTTTCCTTACCAACAGGATCAGCAGGTGTGTTCACAGGACTAAAACCCAACCACATCAAACAAATGCTCAACCCTGCACTGGGAGACATACCACAGGGCCTTCTGGTGGAACAAGCCAGATTCACCAACATATGTCTAGCTGGCAACATATCAGAGACCATAAGACTTATCTTTTTTGAGCATCTCTCTGTGCTCTAAAGAAAAAGGATAGAAGGATCAGACCAATAGCTGTGGGCAATTCCCTCTGGCGTCTCGTCGCAAAGGCTGCTGCAAGAACAGGTAGTGAAGCAGCGGCAAACATGTTAAAGCCAAAACATCTCAGGTTTGGTATTCCACAAGGATGCGAGGCGGCAGCTCACGCAGCTCTTGCTATCGTTGCTAACATCACAGATGAAAAGGCCCTTATCAAACTATATTTAAAAAATGACTTCAATTTCATGCTGAGGGATGCTGTACTCGGCGAGGTTCATCGTCATTTCCCTTCCCTCTACCTTTTTTGTAGATTCATGCTTCAGTTTGGATATAAAGCTACTTTTTGGCGAAAAGAAAACTAACTCGCAAAAAGGCGTCCAACAGGGTGACCCCCCCTTGCTCCTCTCCTTTTCTGCTTAGTCATCAAACAAGTCACAGAAGTCCTGTCCAGCGAGCTTAACATCTGGTTCTTAGATAATGGTACCCAAGCTGGTTCCCACGACTCCCTCCTAAAGGACATCTGAAAACTCCAGGAACAAGGTGCAATTTAAGGCCATATATTTTTTAAATAATATGTTCCAACCAGGGTATCATAGAGAGGATAGAGGGTGTTCTACCAAATATCCATATAACTAAACCTGAAGACAGCACACTCCTAGGAGCCTCTTAGGGATGAAAGCCATCGAAGAGGTCCTCGAAAGAAAAATCGCCGACTTTAAGAGGATAGACAGGAGGATTGAGGATATTGATGCTCATGGCACACTTTATCTCAACACCAGATGCCTGTTCCTCCACAGTTTATCCTACTTTCTGAGGTGTTCACCATCCAACATAAATAGAGAGGATAGAGGGTGTTCTGTCCTACATCCTACAGCTAAAAATAATAGGTGAGTATGACATGTTACTGAAATCAATGCTAGAAAAACCCCTCAACCTTTCTCTTGATGATCAACAGTGGAAACAAGCCTCTCTTCCCGTAAGACATGGGGCCCTCGTAGTTTGAACAGCAACCCAAATCGCTGTTCCAGCCTTCCTGTTCTCCTCCTCGGCATCCAACGATCTTGTGAAGGATGTTCTACCTGCATACCTACATCAGCTAGCAGGCATACACAATCCCAGTTTTATTAGCTGTGCCACCGAGTAGGCCTCTCATGCAATCCCATCACCTCAATCACCATCCTCAAAAGCCCACAAGCAATCCAGCTGGGATGGCCCCATTGTAGACCAAGTTGCTGCAGAGTGCCTAGGTGCTACAACAGCACAACACAACATTGCTCGCTTCACAGCAGTAGCAGCTCCACATGTAGGGGATTTCCTGTTAGCAACCCTAATGTTGGCAACTGGTATATGTCTCATACCACAAGCCCTCTAAAGTACTGTGGCACTCCGCCTTGCTGTCCCAATCCACACCAAATTTAGGTGTATTTGCAGCGAGGTGGTGGCCGACAGGTACGGCCACCATGGCCTATTCTGCCAAAACACAGAGAGATGGCACTCGAGGTACAGTGAAGTTAACGGCATCATCAGTAAAAGCCTCACCACAGCTAGATGACCAGCTGAAAGAGAGCCCCGTTACCTAACGCCCCATAACTCTGATGCTCCTATTGGTCGGTCAGATGATATCACAGTGAATAGTCACACGTTCCATAGTCACGCGTTTCCTATCTTACTAAACGCCTTATATACTGTGGGGACATATTTTTAGTGCATAATAAACATTTACGCTAGTAGAATTTTAATAGTAATTCCTAATAGGAATTACCTCCTCTTAACTGCTCCTCACCTCTCTCTTGCCTTACGTAATGCCCTTGCTTCCCAGTTACAGCTCAGCTCCTGTGCCAGGTAAGTCCACTTCGGGCACACTATGGCCATGCAACTTACAAATTTTTGTACCGAACTACTGAAACTAAAACTACAACAACAACCTCTTTCCCTCCACAATCGACTTGATAATGATCCAGGACGGACTTTATCATTGTCGTTTCTTCACTTTCTGGTATGTGGTTAAGTCATCGTATCATCAGCCACGTTATTGTGACTCATCGCCTGCAAAGGGTTTTGCTTACCTGTTTGACCACCATATCCACCACGCCAGCCCGCAATCCGTCAGAAGGAATTGTATACTTGTATCTTGAAGAAAATTAAGAATAAGGAGAAAGTTTAAATTTAATATTTCAAATATTCGGAACTGGTAAAATTTCTTTATTTGCATTAGAAAAATTATTGGTAAGATAAATGACATTTCATCTTAAAAAGCCAAGAAGATATGCAGTATTTTGTGATATGATGCATGTTAGCATTATGGTCGTAATATCAGTGCAGATTGAATTATATAAAGTGAATTTTATATCACCAGAAAATTTATCATGAAGGATATAGTATATCATCAAAAAAACTGAAAAAGTATATTTAAAAATCCAATCAAGAAAATTAGCTCTTTCACAAGAACAAAACCTACGTAAAATTGAGGCCTTGTCCTAAATATTCCAGCGTTTCATCTTCTCGTCTTCCCAGTCTGATAGTTGTACTCATCAAGTGGGTCTGATCGACTGCTATTTTGAGACTTGGACGCTCGATAAATCTGTTAATATTTACAAATAATTTAGGTACGAAGACACAAAATATTTATTACAGCTCAAAAATAAATGCGAGCACATTCCAAGTTTCACATTCAAGGAAAAACTAATAAAAAATACGTAGTATCTATGCTAACTGAATATTTTTATGTCTTTTTCTCTCATTATAGACAAAATTCTCTGCTTCTCGTTGTTTGAGAGCATCTTAAAGTGCATTGAGAAAATGCTGCAGTATAGGAATATACCATTAATGTACTTTTTACTACAATATTTTTGTTTACCATTCTTATAAGGCACTGTAACATCGATTTCCATAGCTTTATATTTTTATCATATATTCAATAACGAACTCACCTGGAGAATTTGTCAGGGAAGAGGTGAAGGCTGGAGGTGAGGGCGAGGCCTTGGTGGGGCGTCCAGGAGGCCACCTTCAGCGCCTGGGCTCCTCTGGGACTGTACGGCAGCTGGATGTACACACTGCACCTGTACAGCGACCGACGTTCATCACGAATTCACATATTTATTATTGTTTCATAAAATATTAGCAACCTGCGATAAAATGGTCTAAATAAAATGAACCAGCCTAACATGTTTTCTTTGCATAGAATCTTAAGAGATACGTTACCTGCTGCTGACAGGTGCACCATGAACAACGAGCAGCATAGAGTTGGTCATAGAGAGCAATCCATGGAGAACATGCAGGTGATGGAGGGGGAGGCGGGTGACGACCAGGAGCCTCGTCGACCACACCAGGAGGCGGCCCGTGAGGGACCACTGGGCGAAGGCGGTGAGGAAGGCGAGGTCGTCGCTCACCACCACCACCGTCACGCACCATGACACCTGCCGCACCTGTTGACGTCAACATAGTAGACGGTATGTGAGAGTGACCTACCCGCCTCAGTAGTGATGTGAGAGTGACCTACCCGCCTCAGTAGTGATGTGAAAGTGACCTACCCGCCTCAGTAGTGATGTGAGAGTGACCTACCCGCCTCAGTAGTGATGTGAGAGTGGCCTACCTGCCTCAGTAGTGATGTGAGAGTGACCTACCCGCCTCAGTAGTGATGTGAGAGTGACCTACCCACCTCAGTAGTGATGTGAGAGTGGCCTACCCGCCTCAGTAGTGATGTGAGAGTGACCTACCCGCCTCAGTAGTGATGTGAGAGTGACCTACCCGCCTCAGTAGTGATGTGAGAGTGGCCTACCTGCCTCAGTAGTGATGTGAGAGTGACCTACCCGCCTCAGTAGTGATGTGAGAGTGGCCTACCCGCCTCAGTAGTGATGTGAGAGTGACCTACCCGCCTCAGTAGTGATGTGAGAGTGACCTACCTGCCTCAGTAGTGATGTGAGAGTGACCTACCCGCCTCAGTAGTGATGTGAGAGGGACCTTCCCACCTCAGTAGTGATGTGAGAGTGACCTACCCGCCTCAGTAGTGATTTGAGAGTGACCTACCCGCCTCATTAGTGATGTGAGAGTGACCTACCCGCCTCAGTAGTGATGTGAGAGGGACCTACCCGCCTCAGAAGTAATGTGAGTGACCTACCCGCCTCAGTAGTGATGTGAGAGTGACCTACCCGCCTCAGTAGTGATGTGAGAGTAAACTACTCGCCACAGTAGTGATGTGAGAGTGAACTACCCGCCTCAGTAATGATGTGAGAGTGACCTACCCGCCTCAGTAGTGATGTGAGAGTGAGCTACTCGCCTCAGTAGTGATGTGAGAGTAAACTACTTGCCTCAGTTGTAATGTGAGAGTGAACTACCCGCCTCAATAGTGATGTGAGAGTGAACTACCCGCCTCAGTAGTGATGTGAGAGTGAACTACCCGCCTCAGTAGTGGTAGTAGGGATGACAACACAGCGCCACCTTTTTGAGGGTCCGGAAAAGATTAACTTTTGATGACTCTGTGGATAACATTTGATGACTCTTGAGAATAACGTTTGAGGACATGAGTAGCATTTTGACGTCTTTGAGTGTGTCTTTGATATCCTTGAGTGTATTATTGATTTCTGAGTGAGCTATTGATGTCCTTGATTGTTTTATTGAAGTCTTATTGCGTGTTATTGGCGTCTTTGAATGTGTTATTGATTTCTTTGAGTGTGTTATTGATGTCTTTGAGGGTGTTATTGATGTCTTTGAGTGTGCTATTGGTGTCTTTGAGTGTGTTATTGACGTCTTATAGCGTCTTATTGGCGTCTTTGAATGTGTTTTTGACGTCTTTGAGTGTGTTACTGATGTCTTTGAGAGTGTTATTGATGTCATGAAGAGTAACTTTGGTGTGTCAAAGAGTGTCTTTGATTATTTTTCTTACTCAATGATGTAAACTGCTAGTTACAAATATTTAAAAAAAGATACCTTTGACTATGTTTAGTTAAGGGGAAGAATAGTTTTAGTCAAGAACTGTAATGAGATATCTTTGGCTATTTTTTCTTACTTGACGAAGCATAATGGTCGTTAAGAATGTGTTGAAAGCAGATAAGCTTGACTCTTTTTAGATGAGAAAAGTGTTATTTTAGTTAAAAAACGACAAAAAATATGATGAATGTGCCAATTTTCAGTTGAGAGAATTGTTATTTTAGTTAGGAAATGATGAAAAGATAATGAAAGTGAGTTTTTTAGTTGATTGGCGAATATTTTAGTTAGAAAACGACAAGAAAAGATAATGAACGTGGCTATTTTCAGTTGAATGACGATGGATAAAGTTAGTTATGAACAATATGGAAAGTTTCCTTTGATTATTTTTAGCTAAGAGAAAGGTTATTTTAGTTAAGAAACGACAAGAAAATATGATGAATATGCCTATTTTCAGTTGAGAGAAGTAATATTTTAGTTAAGAAACGACAGGAACACATGATGAACACGACTATTTTTTGTTGATTGACGAATAATTTTAGTTTAAAACGACAAGAAAAGAATGTCTTGGTAAATTTATTACTGAATAAAGTGAAGATTTGTTTACAAACAGTGTTGTGAAGAACATTCTGAGAACATTGAGAACACAGAGAACAAAAACACAGAGAACACGGAAAAGAATGTGAAAATATGATTTGAACTTGCAGAGAACTTGCTGAGAATATAGAGAATATGACAAAAAACACAGAAAACATGGATGGGAATGCGACGAACATAGTGAACATGCTGTGAACATTGGTAGAACATGGAGAATATGGAAAAACTGGTGAAAAATATGATTTAAATGTGCAGAGAACATGAATAATGAGTATCAAAGTTGTACAGAGAACACGGGTGAAAATATATAAATACAGTAAGATTATTGGATAATAACTGTTCTTTTAAATTCTGGGGAGGGAGAAAGATTTGGATGAGACTGGGAAGGGGGAGTTGGGGAATGGTGAGCTGTAGGGTGGTAAGGGATAGGAAGATAAGGGTGTGGGGGGGGGGGGTAAGGGAGGGTGGGGGAGAAAAGGGGTGATGGAGATAAGAGAGAGGATAGGGGGCGGGGAAACGGAGGAGAGAGGGAGGTATGGAAGGAGTAAGGTGTTGAGGAGGCAGATATCGGGATGCGAGGGGGGGGGGAAAGCTGGGGAGTTTGAGAGAGGTAAGTGAGCTAATGAGCACGGGGTTTAGGGGGGTGGAGGAAGTAAAGAAGGGGAAAAGTAAGGTGTGATATGACTATGTGATTATTATTACCGTGTGAATGATTATTTACATAGCTGAGTAAACAAAGGATATTGAAGGAGAAGATATGTTTACTTTGATAAAGGTGATAGACTAAAGTCCATCTTGATCTGAAATAATTAAGTTTGATGAACTGAGGAGAAGGACAAGAGTTGGAGTTCGGTAATTGCTTTGGTTTATTTTACAAGGTCTGAAATATAGTGAGTTTAAATTTAAGGGAACTTGGACTGATAGTAACAAAATTGTCTAAATGAGCTAAAGCACAAGAACTGAAACTCGGTAACTGCCTTTGTCTTATTTACTACATCTGAAATAGCTATGTTTTAAAGTTTAAAGAAATTGATCGGATAGTAGCGGAATTGCAAGAGGGAACTAAAGTGGAGGATGAACACTGAACTTGCTTACTGGCTCGATCTGATTTACTTCGTTCGAAATATACCGGGATTAAATCTTAAAAGAAATGATTGGATAGTAAAGAAGTTATACAAATCATTTAAGGTGGGAGACATGAGCTGGAGTTCAGTAAGTAAATTGCTGTATTTTACTATATCTGAAATACAGTGGTGTTAAATTTCAGGGAAATTGATTTGATATTAACGAAGATACGAGAGAGGATCAAGGCAGGGACAGGAGATAGAATTTGGTAATTGTTTGATTTATTGTGCTATATCTGAAATATGTTTTAAATTACGCTAAAATTGTGCCATTAGTAGTGAAAATGCACTTATAAATGCAGTCTCTGACAAATTTTTGTCTTAAACAGGTCTCTGTCTCCTTTTGGTCTTAAACTGGATACTGATTAATTTCGGTCTTTAACGGGACTCTGAATGTTTTCGAGCTCAAACTGGTATCTGACTAATTTTGGTCTCCAACTGGACTCTGTTCAATTTTGGTCCTAAAATGGTCTCAGTCAAAATTTAGGCTTTAACTGGTCTCTGACAATATTTTGGTCTAAAAATGGGCTCTGAAATTATATCGGTCTTAAATAGACTCTGTCATATTTTTTGGCCGTAAAATAGTCTCTGTTAAATTCCGGTCAAGTTTGGTCATATATGGTCTTTGAACAATTTCGGTCTATTACTGGACTCTGAAGAAATTCGGTCTTTAACTTGTCTCTGACTAACTTTTGGTTTTTATCTGGTCTCTGACAAATTTTCAGTCTTAAAACGGACTCTGAAGAAATTTGGGTCTTCTACTGGTCTCTGAATAATTTAGGTCTCCTACTGGATTCTGAAGGAATTCAGTGTTTAACTAGAACTTTGACAACTTTTCAGTCTTCAACTGGTCTCTGAAATTATTTTGGTTGTAAACTGAACTCTGAAAATATTTCGGCCATGAACTGGTCTCTGACTAATTTAGACCTTAAATGGTCTCTGAAACTATTTGGGGCTTAAACTGAACTCTGAAAATATTTTGGTATTTAACTGGTCTTTGAACAATTTCAGTCATTAACTGGTCTCTGAATAATTTAGATCTTTTACTGATGAAACAGCCATAAATATATATAAAATCTAAAAGTCATAGCTAAGATGTCTATTTTCCTTAACGAAACTTCTATGAACATATTCTCTGAAAATGGTCATTATGAAATATTTTGGTCCTAAACTCTTAAATATACTTCTATGTTTATATGCATTCTGAGATATTTTCATAAAACTGAACTCTAAAAAAAAATTAATACCCATATAAGATTTCTTTAACAAAACTTCTATGAATATATCCTCAGAAAATGGTCTATGAAAAGTTAAGGTCTTAAACGAGGATGAATTTCTAGAAAAAGAATAGGGGACGCTGAGATGTGTATTTTCAGGGACCAAAAATAAGGGGACGCAGTGTCGTCTATTTTCTTGGTCGAAAAAAAAGTGGACGCTGTTTTCTTTATTTTTCGGGAAAAGGGGAACGCTGTGTAGTCATCCCTACTACTAATAGTGATGTGAGAGTGACCTACCCACCTCAGTAGTGATGTTTGAGTGACCTTCTTGCCTAACTAGTAATGTGAGAGTGACCTACCCACCTCAGTAGTGATGAGAGAGTGGCCCCTAACAGCTTAGCTTCACCAATGAAGTTTGGATGACCTCTACACTTCAGCAGTGATAGAATACATGCCCACCTACTACTGTGGGTTCGCATCTTAATTAATTAAAGGCGACCTTCCCTACTCACAAGTGATGAGAATGTTAGATAACTGCGTTGGCAGTAATATAAGAGTGACCTA